TCCCCTTCCTTCTTTCCTTCCTTTTCTCTCCATCCTCTTGACCTTCCCCCCCTTCCTTCCTTCTTTGTATTATCATCTGAAACAGGATATAATCACCCATACATACCCAGGACCACGTAGATATTAACAAACTCATCTGACCTCATACTTCACTGGAGACAAGAAAAACCCAGATTTATAATCTGCCTTACTCAAGAGAGCTGCCCCCAAATGATATAGTTATAAGCTACACAAATATCGCTTTTGAAAACCTGAGAACTGTATATTTGCACCACCACCACCCAAAAAATATCTGATGATGTGCAAAGCATGTATTATTCCCCTTTCCCCTGAGAAATTTTGGATTAATATTCTTATCTATTTTAATACTTGGCTAAGGGTGAGCATATGCCCAGGAATGACAGGTTTTGGAATTAAAGTTCTGCTCATTTAATTTAATTTTAATTCAACGGAAACCGATTAAATATGAGGGCAATTACTCTTACTCCCCATGTATTAAATTGTTTCTCTCCTCCTGCAGCATTACGAGTTGGCAATTCCAGGAGAGCATTTGAAGGTCACACTTAAACTGGAGGAAACACAGGTAACCTGGAATCTAAGGTGACGCACCCCAAATTTAAAGGCAGCTGGTGCATACCTTTAGGGACCTCCTTAGATGTTCGCGTGTAGATGATTCAGAAAAGATAGAAGAGCTCAAACCACATGTGGGAATAGTTTTTTCAAATTCAGAATAAACCTGGAAGGGACCTTGGAGGTCTTCTAGTCTAACCTCCTTCTCAAACAGGAGATAGGTGGCTGCCCAGTCTCTTCTTAAAAACCTCCAGGAATGAAGGCCCTACAACTTCTGGAGGCAAGCTATTCAACTGGTTAATTGTTCTCACTGTTAGAAAGTTTCTGCTTAATTCCAGGTTGCTTCTCTCCTTGATTAGTTTCCATTTATTGTTTCTTGTCTTGCCTTCTGGTGCTTTGGAAAGTCAGTTGACTCCCTCTTCTCTAGTGGCAGCCCCTCAAACACTGGAATGTCACCCCTAGTCCTTCTTTTCTCTAGACCGGCCCTACCCAAATCCCGGAAATAATTCGGCACGGTTCTCTTCCTTTCTTTTTTAATTCCCTGCATCCAGCTCACCCTCTCTCTTTCTCTCTCTGTGTGTCTCTTTCTCTGTCTCTGTGTGTGTTTCCTCTCTCTTGGTCTCTCTCTCTCTCTCTCT